GAACGAGTCAGCAGTTTACTGTCGGGGATTTGTCGTGCCGCGCTGCATCCAGTGTAGACAGCATCACTGATTATAATGGGTTCTATTGTATTTTGTTGCGTCGCGCCGCTCGCGTCCGGTGTAGACACGACGTAAGTTAATGTCGCTTTCTGAAGCTGCGTTTGAATTTTCATGCCACATTATTTGAAATTAGCGCGGGCCAAACATTTTTCTCTCACGGGCCGGATGTGACCCGCGGGCCACCTATTGAGGAACCCTTTCCTATACTGTGTTCATTAACTAGGATGTTGCTGGAATCAGTACAGCCAGAGACCCCTGGTTTTCCAATACCAGTGCTGTGAGGAAGGATGCTACAGTAGGCCAAGCAGAGACAGGGAGGAGTATGGAAGAGGTAGGTAAAACCCAACAGACAGACAGTGACAACAAAGAACAACATACTGTAGAGAATGACAGTAACAGCAGACAAATGGCATAAACAGACAGCACACAGACTCTACAACATCCTCAGATTCTTTTTCTTTTGTTTTTACTGTATGTGTACATTTTTTATAAACGTGTGCTCTTTAAAAAGTAGTAAGCATTGTTTGCCAGACACATACATTAAATGTTTAAATATCTGTTACATATATGGTACTGCTTAAATTATTTCACCATCTGTACAGAAATGTAAGTAGTGAATGCGTGTGTCCGTGGGTGGGGCTGTGTCGGTGTGGTAATGTGGGCCGGTGTGGCTACAGTGCCAGGGCTGAATTTTTGTCCCAGTCCGCCCCTGATGTAAGTAGTAGCAACTTTACATGGCCGGTTTATTTGTGTGCACTCACTATAACAACAAAACCTTGCGCTTTTGTGAAATAATGAAAGCAAACAGGATGCGCTTTCTGCCGTCTCGGCCTCTGTGAACTTGAGCGCGAAACTCCGTGTATACTTGCCTTACAGACATGAAAAATATATCTGTGAAATGTCTACTTTCAAATGAAACAATTCAAATCTGAAAAAAACTAATATTCTCAGATTATGTAATCCGTATGAAACTTGCATGCAGGCGCATTCCCCGCTGTGGAGATGACGAGTCAGTGTTGCCGAATTCATCTCTTAAGCCGAAATCACAGAAAACACTAGTTTATCAATAGGTTATTAAAATGTTAATGCAGTTTAATCTTACAGTTTTTCCCTGACACATTCATCATCATTACTTCTGCCGGTGTTATGCTATGCTAATTGTTTGGCATTTTTGATTCTGAGTATGAAAACATCATCTTTTCCCAGCGTAGGCCGGGGACGAGCAGGGTGGCAGTATGAATGTGCACACTTTAAAGGCAATTAGGAACCGATAAACTACAGGAGACCTTATTTCTTTTTCTGCTGCTGTCTAACTGAACCCCAGCGGGCAGACGTGTTTCACAAAATCACGTCTTTGACTGGTTAATTTTTTCCTTCAACAAATCACGAGGCTATCGGATCGCTGGAAAATTCTGAATATTTTACTATTATTGTTTTTTAGTGGTTGTGCGATTTCTTTGAGAATACCTTTGATGTGGTTTGCGAGTCTTGCTGGTATTGTAGGATTCATCGCCTTTTGGCACTCATGGCAAAATAATTATTTTTGTAGCATTTTAATCCTCTTGTGTAGCTTAATACGCAGGGGCAAATTAAGACGGCAGTGAATATTTGGTCCTTGAAATATGCAGAAATGTAAATGTAAGTATCCTGCAGGCAGAAGTTTCATCATGTTGAATCTGAGCGCTTAACATGCACACAAACCAAAGCGATTTCCATGTTGGGTGGTACAGAAAGTAACGTCCAATCGAATAAGGCTGTCTGACACCTTCAGCCCACCCTGTAAAGATTCAGCAACGAAAATAGTCTGAAAGGAAACAAGAAATATAAAAAATATTTGTAAAATGCATAGTTCTATGCAATATGTTAATTGGTCAATACAGTATTCCAGTAATAGTATAGGAATTTTATTTGAAAACCTGTTCATCAGCTATTGTAGAGGCACAAAAACTGAACAAAAAAATTTTCAGATCACATTTTGCCCCAAAAACAAATCCGAAATTATAATTATTTTTGTATGAAGAAAAGCTTTTAAAGGGTTAGTTCACCCAAAAATGAAAATTCTGTCATTAATTACTCACCCTCATGTCGTTCCACACCCCTAAGACCTTCGTTCATCTTCAGAACACAAATTAAGATATTTTTGATCGAATCCGATGGCTCAGAGAGGCCTCCATTGACAGCAACGCCACCCAAACTTTCAAGATCCATAAAGGTACTAAAGACGTCGTTAAAACAGTCGACGTGACTACAGTGGTTCTACAATAATTTTATGAAGCGACGAGAATACTTTTTGTGTGCAAAAACAAAACAAAAATAATAACTTTATTCAGCAATTTCTCCTCTTCCCTGTCATTATCCTTACACGGTTAACGCAGTAAGCACAGTGAAGGCTTCCGTGTTCTACGTCCGAACGCCGGCTTATTATTGGCCAAAGCTGCACATGTGAGCAGCACGACGCATGCGTGTGATGCTGATGCAGGAGCCTTCCAATAATGAGCCGGTATTCTGACGTAGAACCTGGAAGCGCTGGACGTTAAAAACGCATGAGAATGACACAGAAGAGAAGAGGTTGTTGAATAAAGTTGTTATTTTTGTTTTGTTTTTTTGCACACAAAAAGTATTCTAGTCGCTTCATAAAATTATTGTAGAACCACTGAAGTCACGTCGACTGTTTTAACGACGTCTTTAGTACCTTTATGGATCTTGA